GCTCTCCCTTCTCTCTTACACGCAGGGTAGCACGCTGTATATGCTTGCTCTTCTCTCCCGTATCAGTACAGCGGTTTTCCTCATTCTGGTTTGCAGCTGCCCTGTGTGTGTGTGTGTGTGTGTGTGTGTGTGTGTGTGTGGACAAGTTTATTCAACCGATCTTTATGCTTGGACATTTAGGTAGTTTCCAGTATTTTGCAACTACAGATAGTACTTCAGTGAACCCTCTTGTGCGTGTGCATTTTCATATTGTTAGGGGTGTATCTTCCAGATAAATCCCTGCAAGCGGGGTTGCTCAATTGAAGAGTATTGATAGTGACTGAAAGTTTCCTTTTAAAATGCATTGAAGTCAAAAGAAGAAAAATGAGGTCAAATACAATGATTAGGTAGGTGACAAATGGGACGGGCAACACATACATGTGGCACACATCGTAGAGGCATGCAAATGACCGAAGTTGGAGCAGAGCTGAGCTGGGTTATTGTCACGGTCCCTTTATATTCCGGAACAGAAACCTGGATGGGATGGGGGCTCCTGCTATATTATAGAAGGGTCAGGTGGAGCTCCCCGAGAACTCGTCATCAGAGCCTGAGTCCTGGCCTCAGTGAGCGTCAGTGGAAATCCGTGCATGCATGCCCCCTGATCCGCTCTCCTTGGCGGCAACAGCATGGTGCGTGTGCCCTGGGAGGGGAGCGAGGCTGTGCCCAGGCAGGCCTGTGTCTGCAGAGAGACGTGGGCCCCGGAGGGTTGATAGAACTATGCCTGATGATCTGTTCTGGCATAAAAGAGAGGTTCACTTTGACACTGAATCACCAGGAAAGGAAAGGTCAAACCTTCTTTCTCATCCTCTTTTAAAGATGGCTGTAGAATCCATTAAAAAATTTTTTTTTATGTTTATTTCCTCTTGAGAGAGAGAGAGCTACAGAGCATGAGTGGGGGAGGGACAGCGAGGGGGAGACAAAGAATCTGAAGCTGGCTCCAGGCTCTGAGCTGTCAGCATGGGGCTCGAACCCGTGAACCAAGAGATCGTGACCTGAGCCGAAGTCAGACGCTTAACCGACTGAGCCACCCAGGCGCCCCACGTAGATTCCATTTTAGAATGGTGAGAATGTGGAGAGACCGTCTCCCCAAAAACCTATTACCCACCCCTCTTTCACCCACTTGGCATTTTGCATGCAGTTGCAGGGAGTTGACAGACCCTGGGTAAGAATCACAGCTTTTGGGGGTTGTCTGTATAAGATGGTTAAAAAGCAGCAGTGGAGGAGCGGGGACCTGTGTTGGTGTTGGAAGGACTGTGGTACATTCGTCAAGAGAGTTAACCTCAGCCGAGCGGCTCGGTCCACAGCTGTGCTGGCTGCAGGAGGGTCAGGAGGCTGGGGACAGCTGTGGGAGCCAGGGTGACAGAACCAGAGTTCGGAACCATCGTTGCGCGTGGAGCGGAGAGGCCCTCGTGGGCCGGTCCCGCGCGAGGACGCGACCTGGGAGCCGAGAGGGCAGCAGTCCTGGCTTCTGCCGCTGCCTTTCTAGCTGTGTTAATTGTCACTGTGCTTCTGGGTTCCGTTTCCTCATGTTCAGTACCCGGGACCAAACCAGTGGTTTTCAGCAGTTCTGTGTGAAGCTCCACAGAGTTCCAGAAGGGAGCTTCAGGGGCGGGAGGGAACCCATAGTCAGAGATGTCTGGGAGCCCACCCACCCTTTACCTGGAGCGGCTCTGGTCCCATCTGCTCATCGTGGTGCTGTGCCATGGGGAATTGTCATTCAAAATTATTGTGCAACTCCTTAACTAAATTTGGTGAGCACGAGACAGGCTTATCTTTCGCTGCTCCTCTGCTCCAGAGTTCCCAGCGTCCAGGGAGATGAAACAACCCAGAAGGAATTACCACGTCAGAGCAGCGTATTCTCTAGAGTGAGGGGCTAGGGCTCGGCCCCGTAACCTCGGGGAGTCCTCGGAGCTGAGTTCCGCCCCGTCAGCTGGGCTGGGAGGCACAGGAGCTTGCAGCGGTACAGGAGGCGTGTCATGGGTCCCAGGGTCGAAGCCAGAGGCTGGCACCACAGCCAGCCTGCTAGTATTCAGATGTTTTCACTGGCATGCTCTATCAGGAACACAGAACAGTCAAGTAGATCTGCGATTTCAGCACGCGTCTTCCAAACACAGATCCGTTTGTTGTAAGTTGCACGTATTTGTATTGCCGTGTTAACGTTATAAATGACATAAACGGGACAGGTTTTTTAAAGGTGAGAATAATTAAAAATATAAGGTGTCTGCCCCACAGCAGGGAGGTGGGGCTCATTGGGAAGCCACTGAAGGAGGTTGGTGGGGGGGAAGGCGCAGACGCAGGAGGGCGCGGTGGTTCTCAGCCCCGAGTCTGTGCCGCCGCCTGCTCTTGGCGGCGGCCCTGGCTGCTCGGACTCCTGCTGACTCGATAGCTCCCTGTGAATCGACTCCCTTTCTTCCCCTTATATTTCGCCCCCTCTTAAGTGGTGATAGCCGCGGTGAAAGAACAGGTTCTCTGTGTGGTTAGAATTTTCTTCCCGTGCACGTGAAAATAAACACAGAACTACACAAACAAACTGTCCGGACACCACTTGAAAATCGTGGGTTGGCCCCCGCGTCTGTGGTGGGGGCGGCCCCGTGGGAGGCTCCGGTCTGCAGTGTCTGACTCCGGGCCACACTGAGAAGGAGGGGCTAGCGGTCGGGGCCCATGTGGACCGGTGGGGGATGCCCTCGTCCACGCCCGAGGACCATGGCAGGTGCAGCCGTGCCCGAGGGGGTCCCAGAGGGTGGTGGGCACGGGATGTCTCCCATGAGAACACGGTGCAGGCTCAGGGCAGACTGGGTGCGGCTCTGGGTCACCCGCTCCACGTTGTGGCAGCCGTGTGTGCATCGCTGCCGGCCCTGTGTGCAGCCAGAGCCTCGTCCCCCTGTCCGTCCCATCACTGAGCGCTTGCCCTGTGGTCGCAGGCCCTGGGCCCGACCCCAGAAGTCCAGTGGAGAGCAAGACAGACAAGGCAGCTGTTCTTACGAAGCCCCCATTCGAGTGGGGGAAAGCAGACGGCAAGCAAGCAAACGGATACACAGAACGTAGAAAATCCCGGCAGTTACAAATGCCAAGAAGTAAAATTGAGACGGGGCAGAGGGGACACATTCATGCAGAAGAATTCCACGTAATTGATGGATGCTACTGCCTGCTCCAGGAGCTGGAACACGGTAACTCCCCCTCCTCAGCTGTGGGCTGCGCTTAATGACTCACTCGCACTGAGTGTTGCGTGGAAGGAGGAGGGCAGGTAACTCTCCGGTGGGGAAGTGTGACCAGCGTCAGCTCCGTCAGGTGGTGTAGACGTCACATAGGTGGACACGGTCTTGTGTTGGGAGCCCGTACCCTCACTGCAGCGGGGTGAGAAGGGCACGTCTCCTGCGTGGGCTTCCTCCCGGAACCTGCAAGCCTAGTCTAGTGATGAGAAAACACCAGACCCAGGTTGGGGGACGTTCCGCAAAATACCTGACCAGTTCTGTCTCCTCAAAGCTGTAAGGTCACCAGAGGCAAGGAAGTCAAACACTTGGTCACAGCCAGGAGGAGCCCAAGGGGACGTGGTGACTGGATACAACCTGGTACCCTAGATGGGATCCTGGAACAGAAAGCGGACAGGAGGGAAGAACTAAGGAAGTATGAATGAAATACGGATTTTAGATAATAATAAAGAGGTAAAGGAAAAACAGGTGTAGAGGGTGTCGGAGAAGACCTCTCTGAGGTTGGTGGCATTGGAGCTGGGCCTCGAAGGATGTGATCGGGTCAGGCCAGGGTAGGGAAGACCGGGGGTGAAAGCGTCCCGGGCAGAGGAGGCAGCCGTGTAACCATCCTGGGCAGAAACAAGCTTGGGCCCCTCAAGAGCGTGGAAGAAGCTGTCAGCACAGCTGGAGAGGCGTGAGGCAGAGGAGGCCAGGCAGTGAGGTCAGAGGTGGACAGGGGCCAGGCCGTGCGAGGCCTCGACGCCGTGGAAGGCATTTGGATTTCATCCCGAGTGTGATGGGAAGGCGGTGGAGAGTTCTGAACAGAAGGGCGACATGAGCTAATTTCCACTTGAAATAACTTGAGTCTGTGTGGAGAACAAACTGGGGGTGAAGGGAGGCGGCGGCCAGGTGGGAGGCCCTTGTGCCGGTCCAGGGAAAGACCACGGCTGGCAAGGGCCGCCAGAGTCCTGGGCGCGCTCCCGCCCCTCAAGAAACAAGTGCAGGTTCACACGTCAGCGTCCTTTCCCTCCTCCGTCTCCTGAAGATGGGGGTTGACCTGAACTCTGGGTTCCAAGAACCAGCTGTTTGAAGGTCCACACCTCATGTCAAAGACCCCCATGACACGGTCACCTTACAGCCCACAGCTAACCATCTCTAATTCAAGATGTTTTCCTCTCCTGGTTCATATCTCTTTCGGAAAATAAACAACGGACGCCGTGCTTCAGTCGGTTGCTTCAAGTTGCCCTTATTTAATTGGGAAAAATACAGTGAGGTTTCTAACCTCTCCCTGCCTTCTGGAAGTTGTTGGGGGGAAAAGGAAAACAAAAGCTTCAGGCGCGTCAGAGCCTTTTGTACAGTGTAAACGGTTTCAGGATATTCTCAGTGAATCGGGTTATGATTTATTAACCACATACCATTTTTCTTGTGCTGCCTCCCCTCCTTTGTGAAGGAAGTGTGGTATCAGTGGAGTAGAATAAATATCTTAAAAAACACCTTGACATTGAATAAGCTGCTGCAATCTGTGCTTTTTTGGGGGGGGGGTCAAAGTCAGGGTCACGCTTCTTGGCATTGCCGGGATGAGACCGGAGACGGGTTCTGGCCTCTGTCTTCTTTGTCCCCGGCCTGTTGCCCATGTTCCCGTCACTGCCGGCGAGCCCTTGCTGGACGTGTTAGGAGCCGTCCCCTCGGGCTTTGTCTGTGGCCCGGCTGTGTCTGTAAATCTAGGTCCGTGAAGCTGTCTGGGCTCATCCCGGTCTCTGTGTTTGCTCCTAGAGATAGAGATGGTGATCATGGAGCGCAGCAAGCTCCCGGAGCTGGCGGCCAGCATGTCCGTGCAGGAACAGAACACCACGGACGAGGAGAAGAGCGCCGCCACGGGCTTGGAGAGCGTGCAGTGGAGCAGGTGCTGCCCGTCGCCCCCCACTCGGGCTGGTGCTGCGGGTGGGGCGCCTGCCAGTCGGGGTGGGGGGTGCTGCTCCGTCGCTGGGGCGAGGATGTAGGCTGAGCGATGAGGGGGGCTGCCTCGGCCGGGGTGCCCCCCAGAGGCAACCGGGGGCCTCTTCCTGCCACCCGCGTGGCGCCTTCTCCTCCGCAAAGTCATCCTGCTTCCTTCCTGCTCCTCCAGCCCCCCGGCCACCACAGGCACAGCCCCTCTCGAGAGGCCACAGGAACGAAGCTGCCACTCAACCCTGTAGCGCTCACCCCTTGGAAAGGGGAAGACTGAGACATGGCGCCCCCCCCCCCCAAGTGCTTTGGGGCTGTGCCCTGTCCTAAAGGGTGTGGACCACCCGTGGCCGTGCCCTGCCGCTCCCAGGAGGGAGCCCCTTGGGAGCCGTGTTTGGATCTCCCTGGCTCACTCGTTCACTGCCGTGCTACCCCGCCGCCTGTGGGGCGTGCCCTTGTGGCTCAGCCAGCGTGATTTAATGCTGCTGTCCACCTTCGACTTTTCCCCTGATTTTTCATTTCACTGATGGCCCGTGGCAGCGAAATCCTCTTAAACCGTGGAGATGCCACATTTCCCGGAAACTTGCTGCAGCACCGCCCCTTCCAGAATGAGACAGGGTGTAAGCTTGCTCTCAAAGTGTGCGGTGAACTGTTGCGAGGGCTTCTTCGTTTCAGAGTTACTTCCTTAACAGGTGGCCCCCCAGGCTGACCCCCGCGCTGACCTGATCCTCCTTCAGGGTTCATAAACGCACGGCACGTCAGCCTACAGAGCACTCCCTTCCTGGCCTCTCGGGCCGGAGCGGCTGAAACACACACACCATCCTCTTTATTCGTCCAGCTTGAAGCAGAGAGTTGAAGCACACTAATTTTTTCCTCCACATCCCTTGGCTTGGCAAATGTTTCAGTTATCTAACAGACAGGATTAATTTCTATCAGATGCACAAGGGGGCCATTTTTACTTTGGTTTCAACAAAAAACCCTGGAGTGTGGTGCAGGCTATCAGTTGTTGGAACTCACAGAGACCTTTTTGATTTTGCTTGGCAGCAAAAAACATAACTCCTGGAGCTCTGAAAATGAAGGGAATCATTCTCAACACAGAAAGGGACGGGAAAACAACCTTTAGTTGCTTGGCACAGCATTAGTTAGGATAGGAATGATTGGAAAAACCACAAATGACTAGTAGCGGGGGGGGGGTGCATAAGCAAACGGGGGAGCGTCGGCTTGATAGAATATCAGCTGCTGCTTTTAAGTGAATACTGTCAGGATATGTTGGGTTCCTTAGGATCTAATAAATGGAAACAGAGCACATATTTGACATAGTATGGTAATAGTATAGCTTCGCTAAACGAAAGAAAATAAGCATGTATTCTTTAAAAAAAAAAGGGGGGACAGACCACATTGTTATGTTTTGAATGTTCGGTTGAGATTTCTTTCTTTTTTTGTTTTTTCCTGATTTTTAGTGAAGGGTTTTCTTAGAGTCGATTGAGATTGTTTCGTAACTTTCTTTGACTTTAACTGACATCTTTTACCACGTGGCTTGTAATGCAAGCTGAGCCTGGTGCCTTGAGTTGGGCCCACGTGCAAGCTTGCGGCCGCGGGAACCCTTGGGTCAGGGCTGTGCTTTGCGCTGAGACCCAATCCAAGGGGAGACTGGAGCAGGTCGATAGTTGCCTTCTCCTTTGCAAAGGTATCGAGTTGTTGCTTGTCAGAAACACTGCCACGGACTTCTCCCCTCCCGGTTCCGGGCACTGAGCAGGGAGGAGGGCGCTCCGGGGGAGGGAGGGAGCGGACTGTTCTCCTTGACATGAATCGCATCTTGACATTGGCCCACTTGTCTGAAGAAACAGCGGAGTACAAAGCGGAACTGTTCTACTCCTCGTATATCGTGGGCCTATGTCTGCATTCGGGGTTAAATACAGGCCTGAGAAACTGAAAAATGTTTAAAAAAAATTTTTTTTTTTTTTCTTAAAAAAAAAAAGTTAAAAAAAATTACAAAAGTAATACACATTCAGAAAATGTGAAAACATTTTGAAAAAGTGTATGAAGAAGGGGAAGAGGTCTCCGTGATGCCAGTCTCGAAGGCAGCTGTTACTAACATCCTGGTTATTTCCTGCCAGTCGTTTTTCATTGCCCGTTTAGTGGGAACTGTGCCCTCCGTGCCCCCAGTACTTACATTTTGCCATTTATCATTTTGTCTTCTTTCTTTCCATCCAGTACCTAACACCAGGCATCTTTTTCACTGCGCTGTACTCTCAGCAAACACAATGCTAATGGCCACACGACACTTCATCTCCTAGAAGATGTTATGTCCCCCCGGCCCTCCCTCTGTTCCTGGGCATTTGGTTATGTGTATTGCTCCCAAACGAAAATATAATCCACATTCCGAGCGGCTGGTTTACAAGAAAACGTTTTATCCTGCTCTCAAGTTTGGAAGTGTTATTGCCAGGAACTTACAGAAACCCAAATCCGCACATGGCAAAACTATTCAGGCATCTGAAAGGTGCCGGATCTGGGCCGGGGAAGGTCTGGGGCCCTGGAGAAGCAGCCTGGACCTAATTGTCCCCTTCTAAAAAGGGTTCTTCCTTCAATTTCCGAGTGTCCGGTGTTCCTTTGAAATGTTGCCACAAGAACATTTTCACTCCTTTCTCTTTGGCCTCTTCCAGTTAAATATTTTATTTTGAATCACTGGTATGTTTATGAGATTCAGATTTTTTTTTTTTTTTTTT